TGTCAACAAAAACGACAATGACTCAGTTGCCAACCCAATATATTATTCGGTGTTGTCGTGTGTTCCTTAATTTCACCGAATTGTCTAACTTGTATTTTTAAATCTCCTGAAGATTTTCTGTCAAAAGGTTTTTACTTTTGCTTGTGGGAATAGAACCTTACAAAGCAGTCAGCTATTTCGGTGGTTACCGAGGAATTTGAAAGTGCGTTAGCTATCAATTTGATAGTTGATATTTGAGATAAATTTATCGAAGGAAGTCCGTTTAGCTTGTAAGATGGCATGTCTTAGGATAGCTGATTGTCGTCTCCAGGCTTGTACGTCTTCCGTTCTTCCAGTCTGATCAGCAGTGTTGCGAAAGGCGTCCCTCTTTCTTTTCAGTTCCTCAAGTTGTCTTGACCAAAACACTCGGAGGTGTTTAGTCTTGCCTTTGGGAATAGTTTTCTTTGCACATCTTATCATGATATTCGTGATATCGTTGCAAAGTTTGTCAGGATGTTGGTTGAAGTTGAGGGGACTTGTGTGAAGCTCATTCTTTAAAAGGTTTGTGAATCTAGCCCAGCGAGCCTTCTTGAAGTTTCATGATAGCTTAGTTGGCACTTTTCTTGTCATGCTTTGGCTGCCGATGGTAATACTTGCAATGACTGGTTTGTGAACAGAACCAGGATCGTCAATTATTTTGCGGTGACTGGTTTGTGACCAGAACCAGGATCGTCAATTATTTCACGGACTGGTTTGTGACCAGAACCAGGATCGTCAATTATTTTGCCATTATCAAGAGTAAATCAGGAGTTGTTCTGGTTCCATTGTAGTGCAAATATGTAGCCGAATCCTCATTGCTGTAAATAAGTTCTAGAGAGTTGCTGTTTAGCATGTCTCCAATTTCCTTTCCGGCTTTGTTTGTATCCTTGTAGCCCCATCTGGTGGAATGGGCGTTGAAGTCTCTTAATACTATAGTTTTGTGTGAGGTGTTCAGAAAGTCAAAGTTGGGAAAATTCTGTTGTGGATTGACTGCATATACCTTGAAGTGGTTTTGACATTTTTAAATATTTAATCTGATTATTTTATATATGTCTTGTGTCCAGCCCATACTCTTGATTAGATCTCACATATGTCTAAGTGAGGTGAGGCCTTCTTTTACTCCAGTTAGAATTCCACTGTCAACTTGCCGGTATTTAGGTAGAAGGCACAGGGCGTAACCTGCAAACTGGAAGTACTTTGGTTTATCATCCGAATTGTTAGCTTCCATAATTGTGAAAATGTCTACATCATAGGTTTGTAGGATTTTCTCTACTTGGATCTTTTTGTCCTGTGACACCCCTCCAGCATTCCACCAGAGGATCTGAAGACGTTGAAATTCGCCCTGACGAGGGTGATTTCTCTTATAGCCTTGTTTCAAGCCAATCATAATAAATCCTAGTCAAATTTAATGCCGAGAGATAGCTTTTTTGCCGTACGAAGATACGTTGTCCAAGGTGCCCCACGTGGAGATAAGTCTATTGCGCACCCCGTATCTACAAATAATGCTTCAACGAATTCAACAAGAGCTTAAACACTAATGCCCAGAATAGTGCAAAACATTTGTCAGTGGTGCTAATGATGATGGACTTGAATATACAATATGATTTCATCGATTAAAGTCAAATGTGGCAAGAAAATTGTTGCTGGAACATTGATGAGAAGCGGTTTTAGCTTACGCGCTGAATTATTGACCATATGAAATGAATTAAACCAATAAAGGAATAATGTTGTCATTAGGTAACACGAACATATCATATTTTATTAAAGGTATTTAAGATGTTGCAATCGCTTATTTGATGTTAACTCGAAGAGAATTTACATGGCGCTCTTTATACGTTAAGGTGATTTTCAAATCACAAAATGGTTGTATTATATGTGCGATGCGACTACGGCTTACAATTTTGAGAGCTGATGATGGGGAGGTGAAAAGAATTTAAAGCGAAATGATGGAGCGAGTAGTGGGTATTAGGATATAAAGCGGATGTGAGACCCGTCCAAAAGAATCGTGTTGCTGCGGAAGGAAACTAAATTCTCAGTGAAATAAATTAATTAGACGGAAATGATAGATTGAAGTGCTCTTAGGTTAAACCCAAATACTCGTTCAATGCGTTTATTCATTCTGTTTTGTAAATAGTGTGAAAATTTTTCCTCGCACCACATGACATACGCAGGCAACCGTTGAGGGCAGTTTTGCAGAATCACTCTAATTTTTAATTATAAATGGCATTGAGTAACTGCTCCATTTCATACTAGTTGCGGTGAAGTGGGTAAATATTTATTTTTTTATTTCAAAAAGGGCAGGCGTTTTGGTAGATATCATTAACCATTTAGCTGGCTTCGGGCTTCACAAGGGGGAGGTTCATCAAAGTAGCAGAAAGTCGAGGGGTGAGGAACAGAAGAGCGATTCACAGATGTAAAAGAGATAGAAGGACACAAATTTAGAGAAAAAGGTAAGGAGAATACTGTGGAAGGGGTCGAATATGACAACCAGGAGGGGGGGGGGAGGTCGTGGTAGTTTGAAGTCAGAAGTCAACTGCCGATTAATAGACTTTTTGCCGTATGAATATACGTTGCCCAGTGAGCATCACGTTTAGGTAAGTCTATCGCACACCCCATATATATTTTTTTAAGATTGTCTCCTAAATCTAGCATATCCTATCACAAATCTGCCGATATATGAAAATGTGTAATGCAAAGGATGCTTGTCTGAAATTTTTATAATCTTCATCGTCTTAAAGAGTAATTCGCATTCAATTCTCAATAACCCAAAATATTTTAAAACCGTGATGATTAAATTGACCGATTTACGTTTATTAGATAAATTCATATTCTCCCATTTCTTTTTAGTTCAATCGAAAATTGCATTTTTTGCTGAAAATCGTGTGATCCTAAAGTGCACTAAATCAATCAAAGTAATAGTTTTAGTGGATAGGTAAAATATATATTATTACAAAATTGACCTCCAGTGGCGCACTTTGAAAGAAAGGCAAATTGTGGTGAATCCCTCCCAAATTAGCAAGTCATTGTAAGCATCCCACTGAATAAAACTTCACTTATGAACCATCGCAACTTGAAAGAGCATCTATCACTTGCCTACATAGCAACACAAGCACACTTACGAGTTTTTTGAAATAGGTCTTTCATAAATTGGTTAATTGCATGAAGTAAAGTAGTTTATGACAGTATGAACTCTTAATCATAATGGCAGATACATTGATTAATTTTATACAGTTGGGCAAACATATGTCATTAATCCACGGAAAAACAAGGATTTAGCTAGCGCTTATTAAGGAAAAGTAGCAAGGTAACGATTGTGACCAATGCACTAATTGGTAGTTACTGCTAGGTGATTTGTTAATTTTATTTTTATGACCGTAACAAACATTGGTGAGACGGAATGTGAATCAATCATAGAAAGTGATATAAAAGTCGAATATTCGTATATAATGCTCTATAATAGCCATATAATTATATTACGGTAATGTTAATCATTGACCACTTCTAATTGACTTTCAAAAATTTCACTGCATCAAAAAAGTTTAAATTTGCCTAAATCGAAAGAATTCGCCTTTCTGTTACTCATAAATAACAAGTAGTGTGGTTTATTATTTCAACAGTTTTGTCGTAAATCCTTTTCCTCCAGTTCACTGATTAAATCGCTTTTTCCTAATATCAAATTACAATTAGGGAATGTTTTGTCACAAGCAACAAGGCCGTGAAAATTGTGTTAACCTCTATATTGTTTTAGAATAATCAAACAGTACAAGGATTCGTCCGTATTCTTTCTGAAAAGATTACTCTGACGTAAGAATTTCCTCCAAATCTATTCTACAAGCGAATTAATAATGTTAAGACGAATTAAGTTGCTGTTAAAATACTTTCTTATAAATATATCAATGATATAATTTTTATTTCATGAATGTGATAAATAAGCAATTTATGTGCATACTCAAAAATGCATATTTGTAACATGGAATTTAGCCAATTTCCTTTTACTTATGAAAAACTTGCGTCTATTGATTAAAGGCTATGTTATATAGGATTGCAAGAAACATTTGGAGGATTAGACAATATTTTCTCCTTCTTTTAGTCACCTCATATGGGTTTGTCGGCTTGATTCCTTCTATTCAACTTTGATTTTTACTGAATAAATTGTCTTTATTCAGACTTCTTAATTATCCAGTGAGTTAAAGTAATTATGTAAAGTATATTCCATAAATATATAAAACTTCGTTTTAATTTTGATTCACATACTTAAGATGTCATGAATAAATTGATTGACAGAAACATAAGGAAGATAATCGACCGATTGGTTTAATTTCCCATCTCACAATTAATGCATTGAAAGAAGCTAAGGCAATGTGTTTGTCAATTAATTCCAACTTAAAAATTTATTAAAATACAAATCTAAACAAAGTAAGCCATTCTGATTGTCATCTTTTGCTATGATGTAAAATATTATATAACTATTTTTATTTAAACACTTGTCACAATAAAAACAATTAATTCTAAATATGAATTCAAATGGCTTGGTATTGTGAAAATAGGAAAAAAATTATTAATATCGATTGATGCCCTTACGGATATTGAAATAGAAAATTATTTGTGAATTATCCATCTATTCGAAGCAACTGTTTTAATTTTTTTAGAATGGGAAAATGAGCAGACAAACAATCTTATATTTTTTTCAGAATTTTAAACAAGAAATGGTTACTGAAGCGCAATTGTACACGTCGTGCTATTGATTACCAATAAAATGAAATTAAACAGATTTTGAGTTTGTGGTTTTTGCAAATACTTTAGATTTTGACATCAACACTAACTACAGTAAATTGATCTATGATTCTAATTTTGCATTTTAACAACTAAGTACGACATTATCGACATTATAATTTTCTAATTCGGTTTCAATGTTTTTCTAAATTGGAACAGGTGTGCGGATGTCCATTAATTAGGGAAATAAGGTGGGAAATAAAAGTTATTTAATCAATGGGTTTCGGAAATTCAATATAACCAAAGGGTATTTGAAATTGTGTTTACTAGTGATTTTTACTGCATTTATTCGAAGCAATTCGCTTTCCATTCTTAACTAATTTACTTGACTCTGTTGCCAAATAAAAATCAAAGAACTTCTCTCAAAAAGTTTGAAAATTTCCAAAGCTTTTTCGCGTGCGATTATCAGAACACATTCTGAGGCATTTTTTAAATTACTTTAAAAAGACAGTATCGATTTCGCTGTGACTAATGATGAAATTTTCAAGTCCTTCAAATTCCTTAAATAGAATCAAAGGGAACTGGAAATCAAAGAGACCTAAACTACGACCACTTTTGATAGTCATGTCGGAAAATAAGATTGTTTGGCTCTTCGAAGGTTTCAGAAAAAAACAAGATTAATAGGGCAAAATAGTGAAATTATGGTCGAAGTAGGGATAAACAGGCCT